TCTGCTAATATATGGAACTGCTAATATATGGATCTGCTAATATATGGAACTGCTAATATATGGAACTGCTAATATATGGAACTGCTAATATATGGAACTGCTAATATATGGAACTGCTAATATATGGAACTGCTAATATATGGAACTGCTAATATATGGAACTGCTAATATATGGAACTGCTAATATATGGAACTGCTAATATATTGGAACTGCTCATATGCTCATATTGGAACTGCTCATATTGGAACTGCTCATATTGGAACTGCTCATATTGGAACTGCTCATATTGGAACTGCTCATATTGGAACTGCTCATATTGGAACTGCTCATATTGGAACTGCTCATATTGGAACTGCTCATATTGGAACTGCTCATATTGGAACTGCTCATGCAATATATGGAACTGCATATATTGGTACTGCTTATATCTGGAACTGTATATATATGGAACTGCTTATATATGGAACTGCTTGTATATGGAACTGCTTGTATATGGAACTGCTTGTATATGGAACTGCTTGTATATGGAACTGCTTGTATATGGAACTGCTTGTATATGGAACTGCTTATAGATGGAACTGCTTGTATATGGAACTGCTTATATCTGGCTCCGTCTCCTCCCTCAACGACGCTGTCTGCCCGGACGCGGGGTGCCGCTCCGACCTGGCATTCGGGTCCCGTCTGCAGAGCCGCTGGGACGGTGTATTTTTTTTTTACAGTGACGTCATCCCGTCCTCAGATGCCCTGCGGTTCTTCACGGACGCAGCCCCGTCCGTGGGTTTTGGGGGTCTCTTCCAGGTCCAGTGGTTCGCCGGGCCCTGGCCCGACGCCTTCCCTCAAAGCATCTCCTCCGCGCTCCCGATAAACCTTCCAATGTCATCCGTCTGTTTCAGAGCCCAACTCAAGTCCGTACTGCTGCTTGTAACCTGTCTCCCCATCTCTACACAGCCCACTCCTTCGGATAGGCGCCGCCACCGCGCGCGCCGCGTCCCTTGGGCTCCCCTATTCCGCCCTCCAGCAGCTGGGCCGCTGGTCATCATCGGCCCTCTCCTCATACATCAGGCCTGACACTTCGACCATCCCGGCAGCCCAGCGCCTCTTTGCATCTCCATAAAACACTTGCAAACTTCCTGGTGGCGGCAGCAGCTGAGTATCCGCAAGCATGGTCGCAGCAGCTGAGTATCCGCAAGCATGGTCGCAGCAGCTGAGTATCCGCAAGCAATGGTCGCAGCAGCTGAGTATCCGCAAGCAATGGTCGCGCCCGCAGAGACTGTTCGGCAGAGACTGTTCGGCAGAGACTGTTCGGCAGAGACTGTTCGGCAGAGACTGTTCGGCAGAGACTGTTCGGCAGAGACTGCTCGGCAGAGACTGCTGCTCGGCAGAGACTGCTCGGCAGAGACTGCTCGGCAGAGACTGCTCGGATGAGGATCCGCAAGTTTGGTCACAATAGATAGCGGTCACAGCATATAGTGATAGCGGTCACAGTATATAGCAAAAAATGGTTAGCGGTCACAGTATATAGCGATAGCGGTCACAGTATATAGCAAAAATGGTTAGCGGTCACAGTATATAGCAAAAATGGTTAGCGGTCACAGTATATAGCAAAAATGGTTAGCGGTCACAGTATATAGCAAAAAATGGTTAGCGCGCGATGGTCGCGACTCGTCAGCATATAGCGATAGCGGTCACAGTATATAGCGATAGCGGTCACAGTATATAGCGATAGCGGTCACAGTATATAGCGATAGCGGTCACAGTATATAGCGATAGCGGTCACAGTATAGAGTAGTCTCGACGTCTGTCCCCTTCAAACCAGGCTGCAAAACTCCATCAACTCACAACCTTTTTGGGGATTGGCATGCTCCATCGCAGAGCCCATCCGATCTGAAGGCCGCACCGGGGCCTAGGGCGCCAAACCTCCTCCCAATAAATACTCAAAAGCTTCTTGTTTCACGTCTCTCCAAATTGAAATGCAGCCAGCGTAAGTTCAATTTGGTAGACGTCAGCCAAAGGTAACCCCTCCAGGCCGGTTCTCATCCCCAGCCTATCGCACGGCAAACGCCCCTTCCAATCACCGGTCCAGCCAGGCAAGCTGCTTAAAAGCGGAGGAACTCCCATTCTCGGCCTCTTGAAGCTGCAGCCACCGCCTCCCCTCCTCCTCCTCTTCACCCTGCTTCATTCTGCCTTCAATCTGCTTCCCGCTGCCAAATGCCGCCACCAGTGCCTAGGTCCCGGGGGATTGGCATGCTCCATCGCAGAGCCCCTCCGATCTGAAGGCCGCACCGGGGCCTAGGGCGCCAAACCTCCTCCCAATAAATACTCAAAAGCTTCTTGTTTCACGTCTCTCCAAATTGAACTGCTGGGCAGGTGCAACCGCTCATATGTGCCCAAGACGCAGAAAAAGATGCTCTCCCTCTAATGATGGCATTACGCGGCTATGGGGGGTTGTCGTTTCATACCGGATGCAAAGTGGTAATAAATGACTTAAAAGAAATGTTTCCCGACTGGGCAAAACTTGGACAAATAGCCCTGACCATACCCGTGTCCAGTGTACCAGCAGAACGGGGGTTTTCACTCCAAAACCGAATCAAAACGTCTCTGAGAAGTCGCCTGTCAGAGGAAAAAGTTACTCGGATCATGCGGATTGCCAGCTGTGGCAAGGGGCTGGATACATTTGACTTTAAAGAAGCAGCTAAACATTTTAATGCGATTAAAGTGCGTCGCAAATAATGTGGCTTAGGCTTTAGCCTATGTGTCAAATAAGAGTGGGAGGACATGAAGCACATCTTTAAAAACCTTAAAAATTCATAGGCCAGTTATTTTTGCTTTGAGATAAGTTATAAGCCTATTGTATTAATTCTATTTTCTCGTTCACTTGTTCAATTTGAGTGGCCTGTAGCAGCCTACAGTCTAATATCTGTGATATAGCCTATGAACTGTATGTCTTTTCATGTTGGTTACATGATGCCACTGGTTTATGGAATGAGTTAAGAGTGGACTATGCTTATTTTAATATTACAGAACGTGTTTGGCTACTCTCCGAATCAAATAGGCTGCTGCATCTATAAATAAACATTAACATATTGCTGTTTGATTTATTTGTTGGTGTTCCTTTTCAATTGACCTCAAGTTAATTACTTGCTTTCCTGTATTGTTCAGCCCATCTCTTCCTGCTATATAATCAATTACACCGTAGGTTTTAAGGTTATACAATTTGCTATCGTTTGCCATATCACGCTCACTACAGATAGGAAACACTTGGAAAAAGAAAAACAGACAAATATATTTTTTATTTTGCCCCGTGGAATGATCAGTGTGTCTTATAATGTCCAGCGCTATCAGGGTAAGGCAGCTACGAGCTCAACCGCGTGCAGATAAGTGTCCCCAGGCGAGAGCTTCGACAAAAAGCCGCTCGACACGTTACTGTGTTTTTGTCTGCATTGTACTGACGAGTTGCGTGTGCTTTCATTAGCCTTTGGAAACTTTTTACTGATACGCTCAGTTCATAAGACCTTGTGCGGATTTGTTAAGGCTACAACATGGGCCGTCTACAGTTTTCATTTGCGTAAAAGGACGCAATGTGTGCCCCTCATTATCGTATTTGTGGCATGCAGGGCAGCGCTACGAGCTTTAGATGACATGTATCTGCTTTTCTGCAGCAGAGAAGCATTTACGTGGCTGTAAAGTGAGCAACTGGTTGTGCACATGCACCTATCACGCGCAACGTGTGCTCAATGGCAACGTGCCATTCTTGCGCACAACCATTCACAAAGAGCAAACTAAACACCAATGGGAGAATATTGTAAGCATTAAGAATCTTTCATCCCAGTCCAGCATTTTAGGAAACACTAATTTTCGGATTTGGTCTTATTGCGCCGCAGCTCTCTTATCTATCGGCATTTGCATGCTTGTGTTCTGGCGGCACTTTAAAACAAGGGTTGCCTCAAAATAGCAAGGTATAATATACAGAGCAGACAGGCACCGCATGTTTCATGTTGTATAATCTGGCCATACAATAGCCTTATACAGGCTAATTAAATTATGTCCGGTTGCTTACCCAAATGGCCGATATTTTCAGACCTTGTCGGCCAAAGTGACCGCCAAAAAAAAGTCTAGCGGAACCTCTGGATGGTGCACCACACTGCCAAAAAATACATCTTAAAATGTCTTTTTTTATTCCTTTTCTACCAAAGAAGGAAATAAATGACCTCTGCCTCAGAGGAGCGATGCACAATTTTAAAGAAATATCTAATTGATAATGTTCAAAGGAGACAAGGAGAATTCGAAACTGAAAATGTAAGAAATGTTTGAGGTTTCTTAATTTGACAATATTCTTACTCTTGAAATAAAAAAGAAATCTCTCACACTGTGCGAAAAAAACTAAGTTTGATAAGACTGGACGTGCCTTTTCCATGAGCAGATAAAACTAATTAAGAAAATCTCTTTTCATCCTATTTTTGACAGAATGATGCCTGTATTTCTATGTCTTTTTAAAAGCTCTAAACACAAACAAAAGCCACATCTTCATAATGAGCAACATTACTGCTATTCATAAATGAAATAACATGATCTATATAATTCCAGTCCTGCTTTGCTAATTGCGATGACTAAAATGCAATCTAAATTTTATTATGTGACAGCGTGGTTCCTAATCCATGTACGTGGTCTGTACATGGATAAGGCTCTAGCCCGATAGGGAAGTGCTCATGGACCAAGTTTGGCTCCAACTCTGGCTCCTATTGACTTGAGAACTCCTCTGGTTCAGTAACCACCAGTCACACCATCACAGTCTCCATTTTGGGCTTCGAAATTCAAAGTTTAGTGCGCTCTGTCATTTTGATGTTCATATCATATTGTCTTCGTAAATCCAGATATGAGTCCGAACAACTGACCAATCATGAGCCTTAGCTAGTGAGTAGTGTGAGCTGGGACGGGTATCTGGTGATGTCATATGTGCGAATGGTGGTAACTGGTGATGTCACGTGAGGCAGTGTGGTACCTGGTGATGTCCTCGGTGAGCTGGGCCGGGTCTGAGGGGTAGAACTTGACGTTGAAGGTGAAGTTGTAGTTTGCTCCGTGCACCTGTCTGCGGATCTCCTTGTTCATGTCCATCCAGGTCTGAGAGAGAAACATGACTTTATTTAGCTCACTAGATTCAGATTCGGTTTTACTGCCGTTTGCAGTCTCCGGAGGGAAGAAGCTGGAACATGGCTTAGTGTAAGAGCTGGATTTAAGCACCTGGATTTATAAAGGACCCCCAGAACAGGCAGCTCACAGTCTTCTTTCAGAGCAGAGCACCCATCTCGGATCTCTCCCTGGTCTCTCTCTGGTCTCTCTCTAGTCTCTCTCTGGTCTCTCTCTGGTCTCTCTCTAGTCCTCTTTCAGAGCAAAGCACCTCGTTCAGAGCTCTACTTTCTTTAGCTGTGATGTCACCAAACCACACAGTCCCAAAACCTACAAGCAAACTTTCAATGGTGTGGCGTTAAAAAAATGAATCTCCATCCATCCATTTTCTTCCCCTTAATCCATTTCTGGGTCAGGGGGGTAGCAGTCAGAGCTGCGCCCAGTCCACAGAGCACCAGCCCCTCACTGATCCTCCTGCAGATGGTGAGTCCACAGGAGCTGAGATCTTTCAGCGGCGGCTACCAAATGGAAACTACCAAATGGAAACCAAGAGTTAAGTCACAAAGAGCAACCATGACATTACAGCTGCAAGACTAACTCAACTTTTTTTTTACATAACTACCAAGTTTAGTTTCATACAAAAGTTGGTCTTACATACTGCAAACCACAGCAGAAAATAAAAGTCCTTGAATCAAGTTCTACAGGTGTAAAACAATCCTCTAACCATCTTACAACAATGATCCTCCTCAAAAACAGACCTGAAGTTGTTTTTAGATTGATCCACCCTATCATCAGAAACTTCCAGCGCAAACTCCTTCCCCTTCTGTCTAAAAGCTCCATCCCTATCCTGTAATAGTACTGTATGTATCACTATGACATCACTATGACATCACAGAGCAGTTTTGGGTCTTCTTAAAACAAAAGTCCATAAATTAGTTTCTGTGATTTCTCAAGTGAAATGTGTTCATTACAATCACAAAAAACAGCCTCCCTCTGTTGGTAGCAGAGGGAGTTACAAGTGCAATCATCTTACAGAATATTATATTATTTCATATAATTTCTTAAACAAGAAATAAGTAATGAATTCAATAGTCTGTATCTTCTTTATGGCCGATAAATAATAACGCGTTTTCTTTTTAAACTTGAATTCCCAGAGGACCTACCTGCTCTGTCTCCATCTCACACGCTTGTGTCTGCGGCACTTGAGTGTTTTATGGGATGCATGGGCTGGTCATTCTGCACATGCGTCAAATGCGTTCATTTTTTTTTGTATTAACGTGCGTTAACCTGATAATTTTGACAGCCATAGTTTAAACAAATCAGAACACAACATTCTGTTTTCATTTGTATAAGAAAACACAATATATTTTTCTTAGGTGTAGGAAAGAGTTGAAAGAGTGTTTGGGCTGAGAGCTGTTTATCTGAGTGAGGGCTGGTCCTCTCTTTATCACTTTTCTGTTTGAAAAAGCTGATCTAGAGATGTGACAGATGCTACAAACACATGCATGTGAAAACCAGACAGAGCCAAACTGTTTTAGATTCAGGTACTAGTTTGTTGGATTTGAAGATGTGCAGTAGTTGAGTGACAGGTGGGCAGTACCTTGAGAGAGGGCGTGTCCCAGATGGCCACACCGTAGTAGTCCTTCTCCAGCAGGTTTAAGTGGTCGCACACTTTGTCAAACAGGTCCTGGCCTTTGGCGTGTTTCTGCAGACGCACACATGCAAGCACACACACACACACACACACACACACATACGCAGACGCATTGTTTTTAGCTTTTCCATCTTTTGGCAAGGCAAGGCAAATTTATTTAAAAAGCAAAATTCATACAGAAGCAACAGTGGGTACTTAACAGGCACACAAAAAACAATGGGAAACAATAAACCATTATAGGAATAAAAACAACAAAAACATGGAATTAAAAAGAATAGATACATTACATATGCATACACACACAAAAAAGAACCCAACTCCATGTAAATGCAAGGGGAATAGCCAGGTTTAATGCCTGATTCAAACTTTTGACTAATATTTGATTGTGTGCATTAGAGCGATGGCATGAGACTATTGAGCGAATAGAATTTATGAACTAACAATCATCAAAAGGGCTTATTTCACCGGAATAATAAATAAATAAAGGTGTTCCCTGGTGTGGGGTGGTGCTCTCTCACCTCCAGCTCCAGCTCGTAGGTGGTGTCGTCCAGCAGGGTGATGGTGATCTCCAGGTTGCGGGGTTTGCGTGGAGCTTTGGGGGCCTTGTTGTCCTCCGTCTCTGGGTTCTTCTCCTCTGGGTCTTTCTGGGGGTCCTGGTCTGCATCGGCTGGGTCCCCTGCTTTGGTCTCCTCAGTCTGGGGTCCATCCTCGGGCTCCGGCTGCTTCTCCTTAACCTCCTCTTCCTCCTCGCCCTCCTTCTTCTCCTCCTCTGGGTCTTTCTTCTCCAGGTCGGCCTGAGACCAAGCAGATGTACTGTAGTTCAGAACCAGACACTAAATAGTTTTCTGTCTAAAAGCTTCTGTCTCTGTCCTTGTATACTATGATGTCATTGTGCCTCTATGACATCACACTCAGAGCAGTCTTTTAAAACTAAAGTATTGCTCATTAATTACTTCTCAGGTGAAATTTCATTCTTTACAATCACATGGCAGTGGTTGCAGCCGTTAAATTTCAAATTTGGAAAAAAAAGACCAAAAAAACCTACATCTCCCCCTGATGGTAGCATAGTGCAGGGTGATAACATTATTTACACTTCATACTCGTTTCACCGAGCACAGTAGAATAACGATTATTTTGATAATTGATTAGTTGTGGGATTATTGTCTCAATTAATCAAGTTCTCACAAACGGATGAGATTGTTTTTTTATTTGACCAAAATGACGCCAATCAAGAACATCTTCATAGAGTGAGCCGTAACAATTGAAAATACTTTTTCAACACATTCTTAATTCATCCTGCAGAGATTAGTTGCTCATGAAACTTTGTCCATGAGCACTTCCCTTTTGTGCTTCATAGGTGCTAGAAGGTTAGCATTGTCCATCTATATAAAGTCTACGGCTAAACTACGGAGGCCAAAAGAAGCGGAGGTGGAACCAGAGTAGAAACATGCGCATGATCCTGACCTCTATTAAAATGATTTTGGAATTTTTTAAATGATCAATTTCTATAATGACCGATTAATTGGATTTTTTGATTTCTTGTCAAGCTGCTCTTGTAGATCTATGCAGTGACTACTCTCCACATTGAGAGCTTTGCAGCGCACTGAAGAGTATTATGCTAATGCTATGTTAAACATGTGCTCATTGTGCCAGTCAAAGGCTTCAGATCAGGAGGAACATTCCCAGGTGAATATGAAGAGAATTATTCTGGCGACATTTCAAAGATTACGTTTATTACATTAAAGTGAGGTCCATAATTTAGGGAGATAGCGCTGTTACAAAAATCCAAAGATCACAATCTCAATTTTGTTCAATCTCAATCTCTCAGCACATTAACACTAGAACTACCAAAGAAGTCAATTTGACAGCCTTCTGTTTAATAAGTGTAATTAATTAAGGTATGAACATGTTTGGCCTTAATAACTTTGTGACTTTTTCTGTCTATATATGTAAGTATATAGAGACCACTGGAATAAGGCTAACTTATTGAAAAATGACTAATAAAACATTCAGCATTTTACTTTGGACCAGAACAGAGAAAATGTTCCGAACCAAGCGGCTCCACCTCTGCTGCTCGGACCTGAAGTGCTGTTCCATTTTCCTATTACTATTGTTAGATTTTTAGAATGATCAATTTGTGTGTTTTCTATGTGTGGATGGATGTGTTTCAGCTGCTACTGGACTGCTCACCACTTCCTGCTCAGGCTCCGGGACCTCTCCCTCGGGCTCGGCCCTCAGTTCGGGGTCTGCCAGGGCAATGGGGGCCTTGGCCTCGTCCTGGGCCGGGCCATCCTTGTCGGGGGAGTCGCTGTCGCACTGGGAGCGCCTCTTGAGGAGCGAGGAGAAGAGGCGGGACAGGCCTCGGCCCGTGGAGCTCCTGTTGCGCGCCCGCAGCAGGTGCTCGTGTTCCGGGGAGGGCGGCTGCTCCTCCTGACCCCCCTCCTCCTGCTGCTGCCGAGGCTTCTTCTGCTGGCTTTCCGCCTCGTCTGTCGTCATGGCAACGGCTGCACCACACACACACACACACACACAAAAACACAAACACACACACGGGTTAAAAATAGTGCGGTTACATTTAGACCCATCAAGCTTGTGCAATACAATATATTTTACATTATTTAATGGCGAGTACAGGGCAGCGTAGTAACGTGAGGCATTTAATCAAATTGTTTTGGCATTTCATGTTTTACAATGTGCAATGATCTATAAAATAGAAGGAAATGTGTGGATAAACATAAACAGAATGGACACAGAGAACACTTGTGAAACATTTCCATCTGGTTGTATAAGAGGTACGACAAATTTAGCTAAAAGTAAACTTCAAAGGAGAATATTACGCATTATTTTTTCACATTAAACGTTATAGATGGATATACTTTAAATTAGTCATCTAATCTTAGATTAGAAGACTCAGGTCTCTGTCAGAGGCAGTGGTCGCCATAGTACAGCGCCCAAGGGCCATTCTCCAGATGTTGATGCTCGGCTTGATCAGGTAGGATTTCACCTAATGTACCTTCCCCTAATGTGGTAGAGGAAACAACCAGGGGAAACTGGGGTAGGCCGAAGCACCTGGAGGAATCTGCCAGAGACAAACAGAGAACATGCAATCTCCACTCAAAAAACCTCTGTCAGAACAGAACCTTTCTTGGCTCAGGACCTTCTTGTTGAGAAGCGCTATAAGACTATTTATGTATTTAGTTCTGACATACACTACCGTTCAAAAGTTTGGGGTCACCCAAGTGTTTTCTATGAAAAGTCACACTTATTCACCACCATACGTTGTGAAATGAATAGGAAATAGAGTTAAGACATTGACAAGGTTAGAAATAATTATTTGTATTTGAAATAAGATTTGTTTTACATCCAACTTTGCTTACGTCAAAGAATCCTCCATTTGCAGCAATTACAACACTGCACCAAACACCAGACATTTGCAGCTAGAATAGTCATTTACCACATAAGCAATGTATAGAGTGTATTTCTTTACAGTTAAGACTGGTTTAAAGTTATCTACAGTGCTTTTCCTTCAAAAACTAAGGACATTTCAATGTGACCCCAAACTTTTGAACGGTAGTGTATAGTATTAACAGTTCTTCAAACGAAATAAAATATTGATTGCAAAATAGTTAAATACGGATAAAAACACTTTTTGTTTTTTTCCTTACTCACTAAATTCCTATGGTCTGACTTGAGTTATGCAACACTTTTTGAGCGTTGCACAACTGAAGTGGAGAAGAGAACATTTTCTATAAAAAAATATGCTGACAAGACAAGGGATGAGGAAAGATTTTCCCAAGCAAATTCTCAAATTGCAAACACTTTCAGTCTTTGTGATTTACTCATTTCAAACACTAATATTACAACACACAGCAGCTGCCGCCTCAGTCCATCCTCACTTCAGCACCAGCCCCAGTGGACAGCCCCTCATCACTGTACCTTCAGAACCATACACCAAATACACATATGGATCAACAACGAAATGATCCATATGTACCCAAAGTATCTATGTTTATTTGTTATATATTAGAAAGTCAGATAAGATGACATTATATCTAAAAATTGCTAATCAATCCTGGCAAAACAAATAAATAAAATATTGTAAAATTGGCTGTGGCATATTCACCCCCTTTACCTATTATAAAACACTACACTGGTTTAGACCTGGTTTGATCCATGCTTATTCCTGCTTTAGTCCATTTCAGACCTGTTTTAACCCAGGTTTTGTCCTGATTTAGTCCTGATTTAGACTTGGCTTAGTCCTGACTTCTTCTAGTTCAATTATGATTTGGTCCGGTTTAGTCCTGGTTTAGCCCCCATTTAGTCCTGATTTTTTCCAAGTCTATACCTGGCCTTTGTGATGGTTTAGTAACAATCTAGTCAGAGTTTAGACATGGTATAATACTTGCTCTGGGTCCTTTGCAGAGAACCCCTCGTGGCCCACTCCTTTTGGACAAATCCAAATATAAACCACATACTGTAATTATTAGATTTTTCCTTGACTTAATAAGTAGTTTCTCAACATAAGGTTCTGTCTGTGGAGCTGTCACACGAATCAAACTGGAAAAGCCACTTCAGTGTGTGTTTCTATTTTGTAAAAAAAGAACGTTTTAATAATCTCTTCCAATCCTCAAGTATGTGGTCTTAATTATATGGTTCTATTTTTAGACTAATTCCTGGTGGGTGAAGGTGGAGGATGCCCCTGATGTCCCAGTGGTGAACCTCGAGTAGTAGTAGTAGCAGTAGTAGTAGTAGTAGGTAGGAGATCCCACTCACATACAAAATATACTGCACATACAACTAAGAACTCTATTGTTTAATTGCTATGTTACCAATACATATTTTTGTGAAAAGCATTTCCTCTGAAAAACAAAAGACCGAGCTCAGAGGCATTTGGCCAAAAGCAAAGATGAGGGAAGCATGAACTCAGCAGTCACATAGAAATAAACATCCCATAGGTTCACCAATCAGTCCTTTCACCAATGTCTATTTATAGAAAATCTGTCCGATGAAATTCTATTTTTACTCACATTAAAAGCTTAAAAATAACCGCTCTGAAGTTCCAAGACAGCTCTCTCAAAGAATTCTCGATGAAGCAAGTATTTTCAAAGCAAAGAGGATGAATTATTGAAACTATCTAACTCACCATAGTCACTACGTAATTTCCTTGAGTATTGTGGACATAATAATCTTTTTTTATCATCGCATCATGGACAATATTGGTTCCTCATGTCTATTTTGAGGTATATGAAACGTCCCTCATGTCGAGCCCTGTGGGACCCCTCACTGGGTTGCGTGACTTCTGGCGGTGCAGAATTCTGGGAAACATTATACAATGAGTTAAACCCTTTAGGACATGGTCGGCTGAGAGGAGCAGAGCAGGAGGCTAAAATAATTAAAATCTGTTCAACTGTGATGAGTTCTCTAACAGAACATTTCGGTAATCTAGGTCCAGCATTATTTTGTTTTTTTAAAGACAACCTTTTTTTGTTTATCTTTTGCCCAAGTTTTAGTAGTTTTCCTTGTTATTTACGTACTCTCAGTGGTGAATGCTGAGTCTTTGCTCTTTTCCCGATCTTCTTGCTTCTTCTTTAAGCAATTTCCTTTTCTAAAAGTCCTGGATCGACAGCCTCTTTCCTGGATCTAAAGCCTCAGTCCTGGATCTGCAGCCTCAGTCCTGGATCCATTCAATTAAATGTATGTTTGAACGTACAGTATGTTCTGGGCATACACAATGTGTTTCATAAGATTTCCAGTCATGCAATGATGTACAAGACATGAGTAGTGACTTCAAAAAAATTAAACTGAAATTGAATTGAACTTCCACAAATGTGCCATTGGAGCAGCGTGCGTGTTGGAGCCGCTGTCTTATCATGCACATACGTGTTTATTCTACAATATGCATTGGCTAATGTGATAGTAGCAAGAAAGCTACTGGAGCAGGACTGGAGGCTCGCACACAAGTGAGAAATGTTTTCTGGCCTCATATATAAAGCATGGGTATCAAACCACTTGTCAAAGGGCTGCAGGGGGTAGTTCCAACCTGAGCTGGAGCACTGCAGACTTCACCCATTTCCTCAGGTGAGTCCAGTTTCAACCTGAAGATTTGAGGAAATGGTTGGAGTCTGATGAGGGCTCATGAGCACCGGTGAGGATGGTAAGGTAGATTGACCAAAAGTACTACTGCATACAAAATATATTTGCGCTCAATTGAAAAATCTTAAAATCATTTTGTAGAATTCATTTGAGGATCAACTGATGTAATGGGTAGTTATATAATTACATATACAAGATCTTGTTATCATGTGCAATGAGATTAAAGGAGTCAGGACAAAACGTCACAAAAAGGCCAGACATTTGTTTATAGTATAACTAAACGTGGGAGATATTCACAGGATCCGTCATATGGTCCATTTAGAGCTTGGTAATGCTTCTCCACAGACTTGAGACAAAGGAGAGAACAGGAGCTTAAGCAGATTGGATTCTAATCGCAGCGTCAGGATTACAGCTGTGCACCACTGCAGGCCCCGCCCACACCATGGAACTGTCAGTCTCATGGGGGCGGGCTCTGGAGTGAGGAAATCCAACAGTCCACACATCTGCATGCTGACATATTATGCAAGGTGGACATTTAGCTGTGCCGTGACATCACAGTTGTGGTGCATGTGTCATAATAATAAAAATGCACTGACACAACTTTGTAATTTGCTCAGTGCACGGTAGCGTAAATCTACTACTGCCGCCAAAGCTGCCCTGGCGCAGACTGACTGTGGCAAGGCTGCCAATTTGAGCCAATCTCCGACTACCACATGGCACTTCCAGAGGTCTCCCATCACAGTACCAACATTCTGCTTAGCATCTGAGATCTACTGAGATAAGACTGCATAATGTCATGTCCATAAAAGTCCATGGAGCTGCCTTGGAACTCGATCATTTGACAGGCACTGACATTTTGGCACATGAAAAAAATCCACTGCTTGCTACGATGATGTAGCCCAGTGCTGCTGTGTGCTCATCATTTCAAACTGCAAAGCTTCATGGAGACCCAAGCCAAAATGTTTGCATAGATTTGGACCAATTACCAAACGGGGCGGGGGCAAGACGATGATGATACACTACTCCACAGACGGAATCCTTGTTCACAGATCCAGCAGAAGCTATTGTCCCTCATGTTTAACTTGCACAAACCGCAGTAATCGTTCGGCAACGTAGTGTGAAAAAAATCATTAGTCTTCTTTGCTTCTTCCCTTGTCGTCCCATTTCTCTCACACAACTCACATCATCAGGTGGAATTGATACGATTGGTGCAGACGCATGATAGACATTTGTAGCGTCGTAAATCACACCTCTCCTACGTGAAATATCACCTGTAATATGTCGTCTGGTGTAAACCAGGCTAATGATGTTCTACTATACTAACTTTGTCGTGATGGCGTTTACAATGATACACTGTAAAAGGTATCTTTGCATTTCTGGAACTTTAAATCATCCACTTTACAATACAGGA